TGTTTTGTTTTGATTTTTGTTCGGGTTTTTTTTTTCCAAAATTTAGACTGCATTTTAAGACCAGTTTATTCTAAATTTTGTCTAAACTTGTCGCATCTTCATCAGTTTTTTACTTACAGATGATGGATTCCGGCCTTTCGCACGGCTGTGGAGATTGCCTTGATCGCTGTCAGAATCGCATTCAACAGCTGAGTGAGATCGCCTGTTGCTGAGGGGTATTTGCGTTGTTCCTCTAAAACGAATCTCGTCAGGGTGATACAGTCCGTATCAATTGCTGGGGATGTTGATGACATGGTTGTTTTCAAAGGAAAATATAATGCTCAGTTCCCTTGTGACTTAAATACAATTATCCTCCTGCTGCCGCGGTGGCGAGTGACGTTCTGTTGACAGTGAACTCGACTTTTCTCGACAGGAGTGATTAGCTGATCCTTTCCCTTCACGCAGCACAGCCTTGAACCTTGGTGAAGTTATACAGTATTAACGCAAGACCTGATTGGTCCACGGCGACACACCTTCGCAGCTTCATTTATTCAAGAATCAGAAATGGCTACATTTATTTAAAACTTCCTAAACTTCATACGCAGAAGAAGCTCACTGGTCCTTGACATTGTGATTGACCTTTGAGCTTGTTTTCAGCAGCTGCAATTCAGTCCCGTCACTGTGACTTTAAAAATGTCCGTTTGCTAGATCAAGATCTATTATATACATGTTAAAAAAAAGTAATAGCGTAGTTATCGATTTTTTAACCGGTTACTTGCAGTTTCTTTATATTTGATTACGCATTTATTCGATAAAAACGCCCTCGCGTTTGTCAAATATTTTATCACTTTATTTTACATAGACTGGTATGAGTTCAAGTTGTAACCGCCCGACCGAAACGCGCTTGTCGTGGCGCCAAAGATAATGTTATAATTAAGTCTACTTTTTGAACCTCTGTTTCTCCTTCTTGAAACTGTTCTACTTGAATGTCAAATAGTGTAGGCCTAGGGCATTAACATTGAATGTAATGTAAGATATTAACGTTCCTCAAAGACAGCGTGTGGGGAACCAAAAGAGACAATTTATTCAGCTATTTTATTTGGGTCACACTGGCGTGCGTGAAAAGGTAAAGTAAGTAAGCTACATGTATTAGGCCTATATCAAAATCTTACGATTTACATTGGGGTGCATGCTTTACAGCCATTTCCACAGATACAAGCTAATAAGGTTGTTGTTCGGCTGTTTTGTTTGTTTGTTTTTCTAGCCTAATTACACAAAAGTATATATAATATGTATCAAGCGTCAAGCATAAACTACCAATGATTCACTGGCTCCCTGTGAGAGCACGTAGTATTCAGTACATTAAGATAGCAGCTTTAGCAAACCAGCTTATCTTTGCGACACGATCACTAATACTAATAGGCCAAAGTACCATCTTGCCAACAAAAAAAAACCAGTTGGGCCTAAGACCTGTTCAAAGTATAAGTCGGTGACTTAGACTTGGACTAAATGTGTGTAGAGAGTAGGCTAAGGATCGCGTTTTTTCCCATCACGCCCCCCGCCTGTGGAACACAAAGTAATTATATAGGAATAATATTATACTTTCGGCCCAGCAAACATTAGAAGATATACGTTACTTTGGTCCCAGAATACACGAGATGCTACTACACTACATGTGCTCTATCAACATTTAAATCAGCGTCTTAGTCTTAGATTTAAAACGCATTTTGTTTCTGACCTGCTTAAAAAGTAAAGACCGACATATTCCCAAAACACATTTAGCCGGCCTACATTATTCATATAT